AGGCGCTCCGCGGGCCTTGTCAGGGCCCCGTCTTCGCTCCTCTGCTTCCCACTCTTCCCCGTCATTGCCACTTCCCAAGAGATCCCTGAGGAAGGACAGCAAAGTTTCTCACCTCCTCCATATCCACCCTTTCTGAGTTTGGCCCACTGCTTCCCTAGGAGCCCGTGGGGCAGCAAGAATAAGTGCGTGAAGGGTATTTCTTCCGTGAACAAATGATGTTCATCAAACAAGTGGATTGAGTTAGCTCTGCCTTTGGACAAGCTTTTCAGCCTCTTTGTGCCCATTTTACAGATGAAGGCACTGAGGCACAAAGAGGTCAAGTGATCTCTGGCTGCCTATCCCATAGGGCTGTCGTGAGCAGCAAATGAGGGAGGGGACTTTTAAGAAAATTGGTGTGAGTGGGCAGCGGGACTGAGGGGAGCCTTGTGTAAGGTGCGGGTCATTCCAGGCAGAGGCCAGACAGGGCAGGTGTTTAGATTGTGTCCCAGGTGTGGCTGTTGAAGGCGAGTGGTAAGGGGGAGAGGGTACAGGTGGGATTAGCTGGCAAGTGCCCCTTACACTGCTTTCTGTGCCCCCTCCCCCCAGACAGATAAAACCCGACCCGACGCCTCTGCTGACATCGCCTTTTTATTTCTTGTGGCCTTTTTCGTTTGCTCAGTTTGAGTTCTCGGGGCCTGTGGAGTCTCAGCAGGGACTCAGTGGACCTGAGCCGGGTACACAAGGGCAGGAGGTGAGTGCAGGGGGCTGCGGGGTTGCAGGCACCCCAACTCCGCAAGCGCAGCGAGAACGCGAGAGAAACCGTGGGCTTCATCGTTAGGAGACAGGGCTCCCTGGCAGCCGAGACCTGTGTCTTGCTTGTTTGTTTTTTCAGTTGGGTGCAGGTTCTTTAATAGTTGTACTTCAGAATCATCACAACAGTTAAAAATTCATTTTAGTGAGTCCTCCTCGTTGGTAGCAAAACGCCAGAGGGACCCAAACTCTCCCCAGGGAGTGAAACAGACATGCCCCTGCCCACATGCGTTTGTACTAATCAGTTCATCGAACAGCAACGTCAAGTCGGTTATAACAGGTGCTACAGGTGGAGCGAGCAGACCTCCACGCCGCTGGCAGGGGCTTCGAGCAATCCAGGCAGGAAGGCTCCTCGGAGGCCATGACATGGGACCAGGGGAGGAACGGGGGAAGGGTCCGTGCAGAGTCGGGGAGGAGAAGCTTCCAGCAGAGAGCACAGCAGGGGCAGCGGCCCCGAGGCCATGGGGAGACGGTGATGATCCCACGGGCCAGTACACTTTGTTCTGGAAAGATCACCTGACTCTGGGAGGGACTGGGAGTCGGCTGTGATGGTAGAGGGGACAGCATAGTAGAGAATGGCAAAAATAAGACGTTGACAACACTGTGCTCGTCTCCCCAAGTTCCCCTAAGGGTGGTGTTTGATGAAATCCAGAAATCTGGGCTCCGTGGGCGAGCACAGCCTGCCCTTTCCCCGGCTTATGATGGAGACAGTGCCGTGAGACAGGGCGGGGACCTGCCTGTCCTTACGACAAGCTCCCCGGTGGCAGAATCGCAAGCTGCTGCTGCAGTGAGGCGCCCATGCGACTCCCCTCCCCAGGGCCACTGGGAGCTTGGCTGGCCGAGTGCTGGAGCGCGGGCATAGGCCAGCTATAAAGTCATCTGGCTGGCTGGACAGGAAGCAATTGGAATCTGCTTAGTCACACACATTGCAACAGCCCCAGATCCGAGGCCAGAAATGGTCTTCTGCTTCAGTGGCCACTGTTCCAGGCCAGAAGGAGCCTCTGTAGCTTGGGCTGTGGGTAAAGGGGCAGACAGGAGGGCTGCGCCCCCGCTCTCAGGGCGGGCGCTCCCGGCCGCCAGGCAGTCTGGGTGGCAGCTGTTTACTGAACTCATTGTGCCGGGTAGCCCAGGGCTGAGGTTTGCAAAGAGGCAAGGCCTTTGTCCGTGTACTCGTTATTTATTCATTCGGCAAATATTTATTAAGCAATTTACCATCGCTGGATCCTGAGCTAAACAGTAGGGAGACGACGTGAACAGGGCACCCAGGCTTCGCCCTAAAACGGCACAGAGACCATGGGAAAGGCAGGCCGTGCAGTACGCAGTGATAAAGGGGGAGAGGGGCTGGGGTGGGGCGTGAGGGGCTTGGTGGGGACACCTGTCCTAATCTGGGTAGGGCAGAGGGCTCAGGGCCCTGGCCCTGCCCTCAGGAGCACGGGAGAAATTAATAGCACAGGCAGGTCACACGTGAACTCCCAGGGCATGCTGGCTTCCATGCGGCAGCTTCATGCTGTCTACTTTTGCCCGTCACCCTCACTAGACTGTGAGTTCCAGGAGGTCAGACCCATATCTACTCTTTCCTGAATCTCCCCCCAACTCAGTACTAGTACCCTGCCTGGCTCAGAGTAGGCCCTTAGTAAAAGCTGCCGAGAGAAGTCCAGTCCTACGCTGGAGGCTGCAGTCCTGACCTGCCCCAGGCTCCGCGGCAGACAGCCCCACAGACGCAGGCGCCTACCCCGGCTTGTATCAAAAGCCAGTAAATAGAAGGTTTTGATGGAGGCTGCGTATGGCTCTCTGTCTCTCCCCACTCCCACCCCCTTACCCTCGGTACATTCCAGAGGCCTGATTTCACAGCTAAGCTGGGCTTTCTTGCCTAGCATCTCATATTGATTTTCCCCTGCAGGGCTCAAAACTGCATTCCACAGGCCTCCGTGTCTGACAAGCCAGGTTTTTCTACAGATTCGCAGAACTATGAGTCAGGAGGCCTGAGTCCCCATTGTGGCTGTGCTAGCTCATGGCCCTCCCGGGCAGTCCCTCCCCTGCCCTGCACCCACACTTCCTCATCTGTGATACATCGGGAATGAACTTACAGGCATTTCCCCCATGCGATAAGACATGCAAGACTGAACACAGGCCAATGAGAGGCCGCCATGGTGAAGTGGGGGTGAGAGGAAGAGGTCAGGATCCTCACACCCAAGATCCCCTGGGGCTCCCCTGAGCTCAGTAGGAAAACCACATGTGGCCCTGCTCCTTCTTAAATGTTTGTTTTAAAAGATTCACACACCCTGGACCCTCCCGGGGGTGCCCACTGTCATTGGGTGGGGCTCACTACCCTTTGTGCGTTCACATGCACAGGTACAGACTACCCCTGTGTGCGTTCACATGCACAGGTACAGACTACCCTGTGTGCGTTCACATGCACAGGTACAGACTACTCCTGTGTGCGTTCACATGCACAGGTACAGACTACTCCTGTGTGCGTTCACATGCACAGGTACAGACTACTCCTGTGTGCGTTCACATGCACAGGTACAGACTACTCCTGTGTGCGTTCACATGCACAGGTACAGACTACTCCTGTGTGCGTTCACATGCACAGGTACAGACTACTCCTGTGTGCGTTCACATGCACAGGTACAGACTACTCCTGTGTGCGTTCACATGCACAGGTACAGACTACTCCTGTGTGCGTTCACATGCACAGGTACAGACTACTCCTGTGTGCGTTCACATGCACAGGTACAGACTACTCCTGTGTGCGTTCACATGCACAGGTACAGACTACTCCTGTGTGCGTTCACATGCACAGGTACAGACTACTCCTGTGTGCGTTCACATGCACAGGTACAGACTACTCCTGTGTGCGTTCACATGCACAGGTACAGACTACTCCTGTGTGCGTTCACATGCACAGGTACAGACTACTCCTGTGTGCGTTCACATGCACAGGTACAGACTACTCCTGTGTGCGTTCACATACACAGGTACAGACTACTCCTGTGTGCGTTCACATGCACAGGTACAGACTACTCCTGTGTGCGTTCACATACACAGGTACAGACTACTCCTGTGTGCGTTCACATGCACAGGTACAGACTACTCCTGTGTGCGTTCACATGCACAGGTACAGACTACTCCTGTGTGCGTTCACATGCACAGGTACAGACTACCCCTGTGTGCGTTCACATGCACAGGTACAGACTACTCCTGTGTGCGTTCACATACACAGGTACAGACGTGCCCACCGGAACAGTCTTACTTTCAGCCTTTCGTACAGATGGGATCGTGCTGTATGCATTCTCTGTCGCCAGGTCTTTCCTCTTCAGAATTCTTTCTCCATCAGCATAAGCAGATCGGCGTCATTCTTGAGAGCTGCCGCACGCGTGCAGTGGTAGAGGTGTGGCCCAGGTCATTCAGCCATCTCCCTGGTGATGGGCATTGGTTGCTTTCCATTTTCACGATTCACAAATGATGCTGAGAACAGAAAACCCCCGGCAGACCTCTTGGTGCACACAGCCAGCGCTTCTCTAAGGCGGGTGCCCCGAATGGGAATTTTCTGGTTAAAGGGTGTTTTATATTCTTTTTTTTTAAAGTATATTTTATTGATTTTTTTACAGAGAGGAAGGGGGAGGGATAGAGAGTTAGAAACATCGATCAGCTGCCTCCTGCACACATCCTACTGGGATGTGCCCACAAAGTACATGCCCTTGACTGGAATCAAACCTGGGACCTTTGAGTCTGTAGGCCGACGCTCTATCCACTGAGCCAAACCAGTCAGGGCCGCTTTATATTCTAACAGCTGCTCCTTGGATGCCCTCTAAGTGCTGGGCCCGGGCACATGGGCACCAGCAGCGGTGAGTCCCACCTCCCCATACCCCGCCTGGGCTGGGTAGTAGTCGTCCCCGTTTGCTCTGGCCTGAGGGTAAAGGGGAGCCCACAGTCTCTCTGGATCCTGGACACAGCCTCCGGAGCCTGATGGTCCTTTCCTCTCTCCTTCGCTGCTTC